GGACCTCCAAGTTGTGGATAAAAGTATTATGGGATACCAATTGGGTATAGGAGTCGGCGTTTTTCTTCATCATTTGCTCAAACATTGACTCAATCTGTCCCATCCTATTGTTTGATGAGCTAGGACCTTAAGACGAAAATAGAGGCGAGTTGTTTGGTTGTTGATACATCAGGGGCCTTTGAAAGCCCGACCCCTGATTACCTTGATTACCATTATTCCAACCCCTTGGTTGTTGTTGCCACCCTAATTGCTATTGTTATTGCCACCACGGTTACCCTGTTGCCCTAATTCTGGTTGTTGTTCCCAAGTTGCTTTGGTTGTTGTTGTTCCCATTGTTCCAATTTCCTTGTTGATTTTGATTTCCCAAATTTCCTTAGGATCTCTACTGTTATTGTTGATTCAGATCACTGCCCCTTTATCCTTGGTAATTGTTCACATACTGAACCTCTTTACTTTGCTCATCATACCCATCATCTTTGTTGTAACCACTACTACTTTGCTCATATTGATCTGGGTTTCCTTGACTTTGTTGACCTCTTTGCCTCATCATGTTGACCATTATATTTACCCCTTCTATGGCATTCACTTGTTTTGGCCCTTGTACTTATTGCAATTGAGCTTTGGACAACTGGTTCATAGTTGTAGTTAACTCGGCTATTGCTTGGCTGTGATCATGGAGCTCTTTGTGTAGGTGAATAACGTAGGAATCACCTTGTGGAACATTAGCTCGACTTTACCGGGCCGAGGAAGTATCTGCCATCTCATCAAGTATATCACACGCCTCAGCATAACGAGTGTTCATAAAGTTTCCCCCGGCGAGTTGGTTAACTACATACTAGTTGGTAGTGTTGATGCCACGGTAGAATGTTTGATGGATCATTGCTTCGGTCATGTCATTGTTCGGACATTCTTTCACCATCTTCCGATACCTTTCCCAGATCTCATGAAGTGGTTCATTTAGCTCTTGCTTAAAGGCGAGGATCTCATCTCTCAGTGTCTCCATATGCCTCGGTGAGAAAAAACTGGCTAGAAACTTGTCGACCAACTCATCCCACGTGGTAATGGAATGATTGGGGAGTCTTTCGAGCCAGTACAAAACTTTCCCTCTAAGTGAAAAAGGGAATAATATCAGTCTCAATGCATCCCCTGACACATTTTTTTGTTTTCTTCCCCAGCAGGTATCCACCAAGCCTTTTAGATGTTTATATGCATTCTGATGAGGAGCGCTTGTGAAGTACCATCTTTGCTCCAATAAGGTCAACATGACATTTGTAATCTGAAAATTGCTCGTTCGGATCCAGGGTGAGACAGTTGCACTTGCGTAACCTTCATTTGGAAGGACCCGAGGAGCTGCTCGCGAAGGAGCTGGGGGAGGGTCTGAAATGTTTTCATTGGCCTGGTGGGCTCTTCTTTGAGCTTGAGGTACTATATGCACCTCATCTTCAGCATTGTCATCTACCTCCTCCCCTGGGAGAACATTTCCGAAAGGATCATTATTTGTCATTTTGTAGCTGAATCGATTTACTCACAAAAGTTAGTAAAATAGAAGGAAAGAAAAACAAGACACACAACTAGTCAGATAGATAGCCAAAATCATTTAACTCTCCGGCAACGGCGCCCAAAAGTGATCGGCTCCAACCCTGCACCACTATATAATGGTAAGGAGTGGTCAATGCAGCTTTTACCCGAAAGGTCGATATCGATATTGACAGGGAGTTAATATTGGTTGGGAGTTGGGTTTCTATCTAATCTAGCTATGCGTGTTGCTTTTAATTGCACTTCTAACCATGCTTGGATTTGTTTCTATTCTACGTTTAATGTTATTGATTGCTGAAAATAATCTAAGTACAATATTTTTGTAGGAGTTTTCTCAATTGATAAAAAGCACTAGGGAAGTGACTTACACCTAGGTGAGTATCTAATGGGGTCTAGAATTTAGGGCAAGCTTGTTATGATTGGGGTCATGATATAACCATCACACATAAGTGCTCACTCTATACCTCTCGGTAGTTTGAGTGACTTTGCCCAATTTGGCTTTCTCAAATCCAAATGGGTGTTCTTCCATAGCAAATAATATTGGCCCAAGTCGGATATTACTATCTCTAGGTTTAACCCTTTAATTGGGGCTATCAATCTCTTGAATGCACCCCAATTTCTTGTTAGCCTACTTTTCCTAGACTTAGTCCCTCTTTCTCAAGAAGAATCCAAGTCATAAAGGAACGAATCAGTATTTGCAACCACCAATTCTACTATTAAAGCATAAATCAAGCTAAATATCACTAACCCATAAATAAATAAGCCCTAAAATTGAAGACCCATTAAATACACATACTAGGGTGGGTCACAACCCTAGCTAATGTGTTTAGCTACTCATAATCAAGGTAGAAATCAAAGATGAAGATGAAATATAAGCCATAAAAGTTGATTACAAGAACAAAATCTAAGAATACAAGCTAAAGTTACTCTAAAATTACTCTAAATGGTAAAGTATGGTTGTTCACGAGTCACTGATACAAAAGATAACCTAAAAATGTGAAAAAGATCCATTTATACACAACTAAAATTACTAGACAAAAATACCTCTATGGGAGGTTTCTGTCAGCGAAATACTGGCATCTCAGCGCATGAACTTTCGCGGCCGTGCAAAAACAAGCGCGGACCGCGTTCTTCTATTTTGGACTTGGACTGGGCTAGGTTTTGCAGACAGCGTAAAGTCTACCTCGTCTGCGTTGGCTTCTATCGCGGCCGCGTAAAATGTTCGCGGACCGCGTTCCTCAGTTAGGTTCCACTAGCCAAGTCTCTGAACCTCTCGCACGCCCTCGGCGAAATTTGCACCGCGTCCGTGCCTGGTAACTTCACGGCAGCGTAATTTAGACGCGGGCCACGTTCTTCATTTGAGCTCATATTGCAAGGTCTCTGATTTTTTATCTCCACTCTCAGCGCAATTTCACTCGCGGCTGCGCCAATGGTTTCGTGGCTACTCTTTTGTAATACGATCAATGGCAGTTTTAGCACTTGCTGCAGTTTCTCTGAACATCACTTTTGCTGCAGCATATTTTTAATCACCTCAGTGGAGGGTCTTAGGTGAACACGTAATAATAGCACTGACAGCGCTCCAGTTCCATTCTTTGGGCTTGTGCAAGTTCGAATCTTTTATGAGTTCATTTTGGATTCTTTACCTTATTTTGACCCAAACCTGTAAGTAAGCACCTTAAGTTAGTTTTCGGAAATACCTTAACACACTTTTGACCCAAAACCTAAGCAAAAGAGAGCATAAGATAGGCTAAAATCCATAATTATCAGGACCCACAATGGTTGTTCCTTGCTATTGAGTTATTTGTTTAATTGCAGTTATGTACTCAGTCGTATTCATCATTACGTATCATATCTCAGTCTTTGTTAGTATATTATCACATCTCATATCATTGATTTGGGCTGCTTAGCATGTGTGTTGTGAGCTCGAGAGACTGGAGAGATCGATGACTAAGTGAGGCCGAGGGCCTAATTGTAAAGTTATTGATATTATAGCACGTGAGTTGTCCATGCAGCACGTGAGTTGTTCGTGCAGATCCAGATGTCGATACTATAGCACGTGAGTTGTCCATGCAGCACGTGAGTTGTTCGTGCAGATCCAGATGTCGATACTATAGCACGTGAGTTGTTCGTGCAACACGTGAGTTATCCGTGTGGATCCAGATATTGATACTATGGCACGTGAGTTGTTTGTGCAGCACATGAGTTGTCCGTGCGGATTCATGCCAGGATTTGACTTGCTATAGTGCTTGGGCTGGATCGGCCCCTCCGGAGTCTGCACATCCACATTGGGCGCATTACTAGCATTGTTATGTTTGGGCTGGATCTGCCTTGGGCTGGATTTGCCCTGTTTAGTACTGAGTGACTGAGTGTGTCGAGTGATTGAGTGTGATTAGTGGAAAGTGTAAGACAATGAGATTGAGTACTCTGAGAGTGTAAGTACATGAGTTCATCACTGAGATACATTGCATTTGACATGTGTACTTGAAATACATGCATAGAGATGCATTTCTTTCTGCTACCCGATTTTTGGTGACATTTATGATTTCACCTGTATATTGACATATAGGCATAGAGATGTATTTCCCTCATGCTATATGAAAATGAAACACTTATTTATTGTTGAAAGGCTTTTTGAGAAAAATCACGGTTTTCAAACTTACTCATAGATTTTTTAGGTTTTCGGTGAAAGATTTGGGATCTACTGTATACTTGAAAAGCATGCCTATTATCGTAACCGCGAACTAGCTGAGTTAGTTCTTGTAAAATCTTTATTATATTATTATGAACTGTTGCTGGTTATTGGAGTTGGACTCTGGCCCTTGTCCCAGCTCGTCACTACTTTCAACCTAAGGTTAGGTTTGTTACTTATTGAGTACATGTGGTCGGTTGTACTCATACTAAACTTCTGCACCTTGTGTGTAAATGTTGGATGTTGATGTTGTTGCGTACGGAGGGAGCTGGATCGGAAGATGTACCCGCATTCCAGTTATGGCTATCACTAGTCCTTGGTAGCATTAGATTCGAATTTTGTTAATTTACATTTCAAACAGATGTTGTAAATATTTCAATTCAGCTTTTGTAAAGAAATCTAAATCTTAGACACTCATGATTTGTACTACCAGTCCTTGGGGAGTTGTATAAAATTCAATTATCTCATCTTTGACTCACATCAGTATTATTATATTGTGTTTTATAGTTAATTGACTTACCTAGCGGGTCGGGTTAGGTGTCATCACGACGGTTTGGATTTTGGGTCGTGACGCTAGTATAATTGACTCGCTCTTATACACACATATTAAGTTTTTTTGCACTGATATTTATAAAATTAAATTATTTATGAAATAACTATAACTAATCGTATAATAATATTACAATTTAATTGATAACATAATAAAAATGATTAACTGACTTGGATATTTTATTGGATTAATTTACAGTGGTATTATAAAGGGTATCATATTTAACCGGTAAAAGGGGTTTTGCTTTGGGGCGACGGTCCACAGAGGAAGGAGGGAAAACCCTAATTAAAAAAACCTCGCCACACTTCCACTGTTCCACGGGTACACACTCGCAGTAGGTCGTCGAGTTTAGTCCTGTACGTATGCTCGAATTTATTCTCTGTTTCTCCTGCTTCTTTCTCCGTCAGTAGACCCAATACGTAAAAACTGTAGTCTTTTTTAGTTGAGATCTAATGATTGTTCGTTTCACTATTTTGACGACAGCGGAAGAGAAGGAGACAGAGTGTAAATATGAGCCGAGCAGCAGCAGCGAAAGGCGGGAAGAAGAAGGGGGCAACATTCGTAATTGACTGTTCGAAGCCAGTGGATGATAAGATTATGGAGATTGCTTCTCTTGGCAAGTTCCTTCAGGAGAGAATTAAGGTTGGTGGCAAAGCTGGTGCTCTTGGGGATTCCGTTACCGTTACCCGTGACAAGAACAAGATCACCGTCACTTCTAACTCCGCCTTTTCCAAGAGGTACTACTTCTATATCATGGCCCCCCTTTCCTCTAATTCCTTTTTCTGCCTCATTTTTAATTGGGAATAATGCAGTCATTCATATGTTGAGCTTTGAATCAGTTGCTAATGGATTTAGAAAGAAGTTCTTTTTGCTGTTTATTTTTTGTTAGAGTTGCCAGGTCAACAAGTCTCAAAAGGCTTACATTTTGTGCTGTTCTACTGTTTGTTTATCCAATGCATTATCCTATTTACATTGAGAAATTATGAGAAACAAAAGCATGAAAACAGCGGTGTAATCATTTGTAACTTGAACAGGGTATTGCAATAATCCTTGTTGCTCTTCCTCAAGTTATGTTGACTGATCGTCAATGAGCTCTACGTTCAATCAACTGCATTTGGATCGTAGTTTGATTAGGAGTTGGGGTTGGCTTTCATCGTAGTTTGATTAGGAGTTGGGGTTGGCTTTCATCGTAGTTTGATTATGTCACTGACAGATTGACAGTAACTTATCATAGCCTCCTCTTTATTCTGGCTCGTATATTCTTTTGTAACTTGAACAGGGTATTCCAATAATCCTTGTTGCTCTTCCTCAAGTTATGTTGACGGATCGTCAATGAGCTCTACGTTCAATCAACTGCATTTGGATCGTAGTTTGATTAGGAGTTGGGGTTGGCTTTCATCGTAGTTTGATTATTTCACAGACAGATTGACAGTAACTTATCATAGCCTCCTCTTTATTCTGGCTCGTATATACTTCACATAATTCTTATTTAGAATAGTGCAGTCATTCATAAATTGCGCTTTGGAGTCAGTTGCTAGTAGTTTTAAAAGAGTTCCTTGTGCTGTTTATTTTAGTTAGAGTTCCCTGGACTACAAGTCTGAAAAAGTTCACCCTTCTATTCTGGAGTCTTTACATTGAAGATGATGGTTAAGTCATTTTTCTGTTTGTTTATCTAATGCATTATCCTATTTACATTGAGAAACAAAGAAAAACAAAAGAATGGAGGTGGTGGCATAATATATCTTAATTATTTGTAACTCGAACAGAGTATGTACATAATGCTATTATGTTTTTAATAATCATCGTAGCTCTTCCTAAGATTATGTGTCAATGAGCTTTACTGCTTTAGGTAGATTATTTAGCAGTTCTCAGTGAAATGTACTGTATTCTTAAGTAGGCAGTTGTTGGTGAGGCCAATTAGACTGCAGCGTAGCCTTTTGCTTGTCCATTAGTTTGCAAGTGCAATTTAGTTGATTTCATTCTCTACTCAATACGTGATCATATACAGAAAAATACACTCGGGTTATGTCATATTTACCTGTGAAAAGGGTTTGAAGAATTAGTATGTATTAATTTTTTTTGAACTTGAAAGAGATAGGTAATTGATATTAATAATCATTGTAGTCTATAGAGACTCTTGCCAATTGAAACATCCTTCAGGGAGTGTTAGCATATTTTCAAGTACTTTTTGTTGGGTCCTCATGGAGTTCATCACTTTTTCATGCAGTGCTTGTAGAATCATAATGATGTTTTGCAAACATAACCTGTTCCTTATTTGTTATGTTTTCAAGCTTATTGGTTAGTAAATAGTGAAATCAACCACTTATCATATCACTTATCTTAGGTTCAAGAGATTGCCTGAAGACTACTAATCAAAGAAAGTGATAGTCTAAAAAGAGAGGCCAATATGTGGCAATCGATTTACCTTGGGGCAAAATATTTTATGTGACCCGATCAATGAAGGAAGTTATCACGATGTTAACTACTGCTACGTTAAAAACAAAAAGAACTACTTGTCAAAAGTAGTGAATTTCAGGCACTCTAGGACTAGAGATAACAGCTTTGCTTATTCTGTTTTACTTCTATTTTTCAGGTATCTCAAGTACCTTGTCAAAAAGTACTTGAAGAAGAATAATGTTAGGGATTGGCTTAGGGTGATTGCTGCCAACAAGGACAAGAATGTTTACGAATTACGATACTTCAACATTGCTGAGACTGAGGCAGATGAAGAAGATTAAACATGGCCATTCAATATCACTTTATCTTCTTTAGGCAGCCTTCTTACTTGGAACCATTTATGTCATCTGTTCGAGTTACTTAGCAGTCTTATCTGCATATTTCTAGATTGTCGCAGTTTTGATTTTTCGGTATCCTTATTAGCAAAAAGAAAACATTAGTTTGATACTTTGCTTTGTTTATATTTGGTGATCAAGTCTTATTGCCTTTTTCCTCTTGATGATCGCATGTAATTTGTTGATCTTACTTGTTGCTGTTTTTTTTTTTTTTTTTTAATTTAATCACACAACTAATGAATGGCTTCCTCTTAAGTTTTTGTCTCAAGACGACAGAAGTGACCAAGTGTGATGATCCAAAAGGTCATCACTTGTTTTAGAAATAAATTCTGTGTTTCGAAACCTTAAAAACCTCTTTTTGTCTCACCTTGATTTGCGTGTGCAGTCCGGGCGTGTAGCTGGAAAGCCATTATGTGAAAATCTATGAAAAGTGATAAGTTTTGCCTTTAAAATGAATTTAAGTTGACTTCGGTCAACGTTTTGGGTAAACGGACCCGGGCCTGTGATTTGACGGTCCCAGAGGGTCCGTTGGAAAATATGGACTTGGGCGTATGCCCGGAATCGAATTTTGAGGTCCCAAGCCCGAGAAATGAATTTTTAAAGAAAATTGTTTTTTGGAATATATATGAGTTTTTGGAAATGAAAAATGTTTGGAATTTGATGGTATCGGGCCCGTATTTTGGTTCCGGAGCCCGGTACAGGTCTTATATATTATTTAGGTCGAGCCTGTAAAATTTGGTAAGAAACGGAGGTCATATGACGTGATTCGGAACCTTAGTTGTAAAATTTGAAACTTTGAAAGTTCTTGAGATTTTCTTTGATTTTGATGCTAAATTCATAGTTGTTGATGTTATTTTGGTGATTTGATTACAAGAGCAAGTCCGTATGATGTTTTTGGGTTAGTGTGCATGTTTGGTTTGGAGCCTCGAGGGCTCGAGTGAGTTTTAGATACGCCAAGGAGTGAAATTTGGACTTAGAAAGTTGCAGGTTTTTAGCTGGTATGTTGCAGGTCTGCAGGCTTCGCAAGCTCGCAAATGCGAAGAAGACCTGGTATGCCTTGGGGTCGCAAATGCGACGTAGTCATCGCAAAAGCGATACCGCAAATGCGAAGGGCCCATCGCATTTGCGAAGTGGCCTGGAATCCTTCAGAGTTGCAAATGCGACAATCCCATCGCAAAAGCGAGTTCGCAAATGCGATGATAGCAGTCTTGTGAAGGGTTCGCAAATGTGACATCTGCGACCTGCAAATTCATAACTTAGCCGAAAATCTTTCATTTTTCAAACATTTTCAAAATCAAAACACCTTTGGGCGATTTTTCAAAGACAAGTACTCTTCTAAATCGATTGTAAGTCATTTCTAACTCATTTTCTTCAATCTTTAACATTTTTTCTTATGATTTCAACTCAAATCAAAGGTTTTCATGGGGGAAAATTGGGTGTTTTGGGTAGAACCTAGATTTTTCAAATTTTGGGGATTTGGACCTCGATTTGAGGTCCGATTTCAAAACAAATTATATATTTGGGTTCGTTGGGGAATGGATAATCGAGTTTTGGTTCGAACCTTGGGTTTTGACCATGTGGGCCCGAGAGCGATTTTTGACTTTTTGGGAAAAACTTTAGAAAACCTATTTTCATGCATTGGAATTGACTCATTTAGCATTTATTGATATAGTTAAGTAACTTGTGGCTAGATATGAGCGAATTGGTGATTGAATCAAGAGGTAAAGTAATAGTTGAGACTTGAATTGTGTTCGTGGCATCGAGGTAAGTATTTGGTCTAATCTTAGCTTGAGGGATTAAGAGTTGTGTCTTATTTGCTATGTGTTATTTGTTGAGCACGACGTATAGGCATGGTGACGGGTATCTATACGTTGGTGTCAAGCATGCCCGTGAGTCTTATACTATGATTAATGTGACTCAGTTTGTATTGTTCATGCCTTATGTGATGATTTCTATTGTTGAGCAAAACTTGTGGAAGTAATAGTGGTATTTGAATATGGAAGAGCGTTGGCTCAAGTTGTATAATGAATTGTGGAAGTATAATTGGCAATTGAACCTTATAAACCATTGACTCAAGTTGTGAAGTGAATTGTGAAGAAAATGTGAAAAGAGAAGAGAATTATTATATTGTCTCCCTTGCCGGGATGTTGTTGCTTTTAATGCTATCTCCCTTGCCGGGATGTTAATGTTTTTGATATTGTTCCCTTGCCGGGATTTGATTGTTGAACTATTGTTCCCTTGCCGGAATTTTATTGTGATTTTATTTATTTCTTTGCCCTTATTGCTTGTGATTGTTTTTTGGGTGAGAAAGAGTGTTAAAACACGAAGGGTGATATCGTGTATTATTTTGGTGAGAGAGTGCTAAAGTACGAAGGGTGATGTCGTGTATGATTTTGTGAGGAAGAGTGTAAAAGCACGAAGGGTGATGTCGTGCACTTGTTTGGTTTCTGATTCTTGTTGATAATTGAGTTATGGTGTTCCTTATATTTACTTGTTGTCCTTCTGTTATCATTTGATGTTTCCCCACAGCATGTTTCCCTCCCATTCTTAACTGTACATTCCTGCTTTTATTTTCTGCTGTATATGATTTAACTGCACAAGTTTATTTGGTAGTCTGGTCCTAGCCTCGTCACTACTTCGCCGAGGTTAGGTTAGGCACTTACCAACACATGGGGTCGGTTGTGCTGATACTACACTCTGCACTGTGTGCAGATCCCGGTACTGGAGCATACAGACCGTAGCTTTGGGTTGCTGTCTTCAGTCCATTCGGAGATCCAAGGTAGTCCTGCAGGCGTCCGCAGGCCCTGGCGTCTCCCTCTATCCTTTCATCCTGTTTCATTTACGTATTTCAGAAACAGTGTTGTATTTATTTTTCGGACCTTGTTTGTAGTATTCCTAGACCGCCTGTGAAGTTGTGACACCAGTTCTGGGTAGTCTTTGTTTAAGAAATTGTATTGGAAATATTTAAATGATTTTATTTGTTTCTTCCGCTTGTTTAAATTCCGCTGTTTATAAACTGTTGGTTCATAATTGTTAAAGGATTATAAATGGGAAAACGGTAAATTGTTCAAACGGTTGGCTTGCCTAACTTTTACTAGTATGTGCTATCACGACTCGCGAAGGTTGAAAATTTGGGTCGTGACACCAAGTAGGATTCCTAGTGGAACTAGCTTAAGCAGAAGTCGTTGATCTGGTGAGAGTGAATGTTGGTGATTTCTTTTTAATTTTTAGGGCCATACGTATGTTCTAAAGTGAGCAAAACAAAGTCGTTGATGACTAATCTTAAAGCTCACTGGTTAGAAACACGAAACGGAGTAAAGTGACAATAGTTTAATGGTAGAGGAAGTTTTATTATTCACACTGAAAGGAAATATGATTTTCATCCGTTAGGTGAAGAAAACAAAAATGCTTTCTGTGATCAAATCACATCATTTCAGAAAAACATAAGAAACAAACCTGAGGGCTTTTGGGATAAAGCAATTTGTGACTTTTTAGACAAATCGTTAGAGGAATTCTTTTGAAGAATATTTCCAAAAGCTTCCAAATTTCTAGTGTCTAAATGCCAATATTTTTATATTTTATTACTATTTTTATGGAGTTACCAATTAGACCTTGTAGTAACCTTAAAATTGACTAGATAATGTAAATATCTTTTACGTACATAAAATTAAAACTCTCGAAATAATACTTAAGTTATATACATTGATAGTACTATTTTGACACTATGAATGCAATTTGATCAATTGCAACTGAATAATACGCTCCGTAATAATACTCTGTTTCCGGGTTAACATTACATATTGCTATGAATAGCTCTAATAATTATTGTTGAGCATCGAAGTCTTTTTAACTGTCCTTCCCGCCACGGAATGTACCAAAATCCAAATGAAGTTGTTGACCAGAAAGCTCATATCTTTAATGCACCCTTCTCTCAATCTTTCACATCCAACTGTTGACTCTTTCGTTTGGAATACTCTGATCAGAGCTCATGTCCAACGAACTCATCCACCTACCAGCCCCGCCCATACCCCACTCTCCATCTTCCTCCGAATGCGCTTCTATGGCGTCCAACTTGATTTTTACACCTTCCCTTTTCTCCTCCAGTCCGTCCATTCTCCTTCACATCTCCAATTGGGGCGATCAATTCATTCACAGGCTATTCGTTTTGGTTTCTCATTCGACCCATTTGTCCAAACTTCGCTAATTAGTATGTATACCACTTGCGGCAATGTGGCTTCTGCCCGAAGAGTGTTTGATGAAATGCCTCGACCGGATTTACCGTCGTGGAATTCCATAATCAATGGGAATGTCAAAGCTGGTTTGCTAAGCATTGCGCGCGACTTGTTTGATGGAATGCCAAGTAGAAATGTCATATCTTGGAGTAGTATGTTGGATGGTTACGTGAGGTGGGGTCAGTGTGAAGAAGCATTGGTGTTGTTTAGTCAGATGCAAGAGGAAAATAAAGTTACGCCTAACGAGTACACCATGTCTATTTTGCTTGCAGCATGTGAGCAGTTGGGTTCACTTGAACATGGGAAATGGGCTCATGCTTACGTATACAAACTTGGGATGGATATTAATGTTGTACTTGGAACTTCTTTGATTGAAATGTATGCTAAATGTGGGAGTATTGTCAGGGCAAGATTAGTTTTCGAAAATTTGGGTCCAAAGAAAGACTTAATGGCTTGGAGTGCGATGATCTCAGGCCTCGCGATGCATGGTCACTGGGAAGATTGCCTCCGTTTGTTCTCAAATATGGTTGACAATGGAGTAAGGCCCGATGAAATCACGTTCTTAGGTGTACTTTCTGCTTGTGTACATGGAGGATTGGTGAGCCAAGGGAAGGAAATGTTTGAGAGGATGACTAAAGAGTTTGGTATTTCTCCTTCGGTTCAGCATTATGGTTGTATGATTGACCTTTATGGAAGAGCTGGTTTGATTAATGAAGCATGGAATCTTGTGAATACATTGCCTATGGAGCCGGATGTGCTTATTTGGGGAGCTCTTCTCAGTGGAGCCAGGATATGTGGAGATATTGAAACATGTGAAGTTGCACTCAGCAAAATAATAGAGCTAGATTCCACAAATAGTGCAGCTTATGTTCTCCTCTCCAATGTCTACGCTAAGATGGGTCGGTGGAAAGATGCTAGGCACATCAGAAACCTTATGGAGGCGAAGAGTGTAAAGAAAGTTCCTGGGCTCAGTTCCATAGAGGTCAATGGACGCATTCGCTAGCACTAGTTTTCAATGGGAAACAACTGATGCTAAAGGATGCTCTATGTAGGTTCAAGATGGATGGTTATGTAGACAATATAAAAGGTATTGCCACTCAAGGAACGGGAAAATTTAGCAGTTTTCACTTCATACTGAGAACTTGCCAATTTAATTCTTTGTTCTAAAAATATAGCACGGTTCTCATATGCACCTTGCGAAGGTAATGTTGCAATATAAATTGCCTCAAGGGCTTTTTCTGGGTGATATTGTTGTCAAAAGTCACAACTGGTTTCAATACTTTGTTGGTGGGGAATGTTTCTGTAGTGACTGCTGGTAATTGACCTTGTCCTGAATTTTGATCGGCAACATACGGTCCTTTTAAGCGCAGAAGCTTACAAACTCATGTGACCTGGCAATATCGACTTCTGGGAGCGCCTTGTGGATTAAGTTTCATTTGCTTCCAACAAGTTGATTCCTTAAAGCTATTTGCAAGCGGAAGTTTATATATCTTTGGGAAATGACTTCCATCTTCTGCAGATATGGTCCTCCTAGTAGAAACTGGGGGATTCTACAGATGCACTTGCATGCTGAATAGATCAGAAAAAGCAGAGGCGGATCCGGGATGTAAATTCTATGGGTTCAACGTTTAAGGTTCTTAGTATTGAACGCATTATATCCTTAAAGTTATGAGTTCATATCTACAATTTGTTGCGATTTTAGTGATCTCAATGTCGAAAGTTATGGGTTCAATTGAACCGGTTGGTATAAGGCTACATCCGCCCCTGAGAAAAGGACCCGAAGCTTTATGTACTTCTAATTCTTATCTGTACAAGATCCGATCTTTCATATCTGACCCATTTTTACAGTTCTCAGATGGTCCTTTCTTGAGGCTAAATGCTTAATGCAAGGGCTGCTAAGCATTTGTTACCTTTGCAACAACTGTAGTTAATACATTTCAACCCTTCGCTATACTGTACCAAAATATTGTAATAACCATTTGGTGAATCTTTTCATTTAATATATCTTTTTGTTTCATCATGTCTGGAGAAGTTTTTAACAGCTCAACAGAAATGGTTGAGACTATTATTTACTTTTTGAGAGTAGTTAAGTTTCCTGAAATGCTTAAAGGATCAAGAACTATGCATTAATATTTTGACTCCTTGTCTGCCTTTTGTCATTTCTACACCTTTGAGATTTCGAGCTAACTAAAATAAAACCCAGTTGGTTCTACTATCCAGTTAAAGGTTACGCCCTCTTCCTTATCAGTGGAAGCAATATTATTTATTACTAGTAACTGCTACCATATTAGTTTGTATTTAGTGTGGTTTTCTTGGGGTTAGTAAACAATTTTTATGGTGTGCTCAATATAATCTAGCAAAGTGATTGACTTAAATTCATCTGATGAGATGGTAGATCACCACAGATCGCAAGTCTTTCTCTATTTGTACCAGTAAAGAAATTTAAAATATCTAAAGTCGATTAATAGATAAGTATGTAAAGCCATTAGAAAAATACCTGCCAAGCGTTGACATACATAAGGTGTTTCAAAATAACGACTTTGAGTTTTGCCCGTGCTCCAGCTCAA